AGGGGCTGCGCACTCCGGCAGATCAAAGCAAGTTCGATATAACGCAGTAAGATTTTTTTGGCTCCTGAGAACAGTGTTATATCGAAATAGAGGTGTATTTGGCAAACTCGACACAAAATAGTTTGGTAGACTGAAAACTGCATTTTTGACAAATAAACTGTTCATCTGAAAAACTTCATCCAGCTCTACTTAATTATTCTTTACCATGATATTTACAGAATATTAAACACTGCTTAGCCTGCTCCTATCATGTTGACCAATTTTATTTCCTTGTACTCCAGGATCTGTTGTTTCATCTTATACTTAAGCTCTTTGGGGCAGGTATGGCCTTTTTGTTGTGTGTGGGTACAGCACCTAGCACAATGGGGTCCTGGGCACTATGGTAATACAAATAAATAATAAATCCTAAATCCACAAATGAGAACTCATGTTACAATTTTTATTACAGGTCACCAGGTCTGAAGTATACAATTCCCTTTCACCTCTAGGTCAGCGGTTCTCACAACAAATTTTTTGGTGGTCTCAGAGTGTGGCCAGCAACTCTTGCTGGTGGCCGCTCAGACAAAGTTTCCTAAAATACTTAATTAACTTCAAGAAAAACAAATAAATATACACATATACATGTCCAAATCATGTATGCAATTCATGTATGTAGGGGTTTGTTTTTTTTTCCAGACTCAATAAGAAAAATGTATAGTTGTATTTTGGTGCCCCTGGCCTCCGCTGCCTCGCACAGCCTGCCCTCCAGCGTCTGCTGCCCTCCCAGGACTCCCTAGCACACCCCTGGACACCCCTGCTCCCCCCCTCCCCCCATTGCCCAAAGCTCCCTTCTGGGGCCTTGCACCCCAGGCTCACTCTGCTCCTTGCTTCTTGACCATGGCGTGAAGCCCCACCACCCTGGGCTGAAGCCCAGAGCCCCACATCTGGACCTGGGAAAGAGGGGGCCTGAAGCACAGAGCACCACCACCCTGGGGGGTTGAAGCCCAGAGCCCACCACCAGAGGCCCATGGCTGAAGGGGCGCGGGGGTGGGGCTGAAGCCCTCCCCCAGAGTCCCTTGGCTGAAGCCAAGCAGGGTGGGCTGAAGCCTGCCACCAGAGCCTCCAGCTGAAACCGGGCAGGGGTGGGGATGTGAAGCCTGCCCCCACAGTCCCACAATTGAAGACGGCAGGTGAGGGGGCTGAAGCCCACCCCTAGGCGCTGCAGGGAGGGGCCGCTGCTTGGCCGCTGCTTTGCCCCCTCCCCATCTCTGCCCAGGAGGCTGTCGTGGTTGCATCTGAGAAACAATGCTCTAGGTTACCAATTTGAATATGACTAAAGCTGTTACTGACCAAAAACTGAACCCTCTGATGGCTCTATTCAGGGCCTTTGTAAAATGTCTTCCTCACTTTCTAGTGACAAGTGTGCACATCTTCATCTGAGCTAGTACTAACTGGGACACTTCTTGGCTGGAGACTGAACTATTTTAGCCATTCTACAGATGTTTGCCCACTATGTCAAGGTTGAGGGAGGTTTACTGTTACTGTCTGTTCTGAACCTGTGGATAAAGAGAACTTAGGGTTTCTAGGTTTATCAATCTGACATCTTGCATCATTACAGCTTTAAACATTTTTAACTAATTCTGATTTGATTGGATTAGAAAAGAATAAGCTATACTTACACATTATCTCCTCTAACAATGTACAATCCCAATACTACTTGTTCAACTCCTTGTGAAGAACTGAACACTCGTTCATGGCTTTCATCCAAAATCAAGTTGATGGTCTGATCAAACCCTTTGAGAGTTCCCTGAAAAGCGCACAAAAAAATTAAGTATTCCAATGATCTTTAAGTTTTTCATTTTAGTGCACAAGAATAACTCAGGCAGCAATATACTGTAGAAGAGATGATCATTCTAGATTTTACTCTGAGCTTTAAAGCTGAATAAACATGTACTGTTAGAGACTGGAACTTGAAAGGAGAGAGTCAGTTTAAGATTGTTATCATTTACTATCATGTTACAAGTAACAGTTAAGATTACTGTAACTTTAATATTAGAGAAGTGGTTTTCAAACTTTTTTTCTAGCAACCCAGTTGAAAAAAAATTGTTGATGCCTGCAACCCAATGGAGCTGAGGATGAGCAGTTTGGAGTGTGGGAGGGGCTCAGGGCTGGGGCAGAGGGTTGGGATGCAGGGGTGGGGCCGGGGATGAGGGGTTTGGGATGCAGGAGGGGGCTCTTGGTTGGGGGGGGATCAGGGCTGAGGCAGGGGTTGGAGTACGGGAGGGGGTCAGGGTTCTGGGCTGGGGGTGCAGGCTCTGGGGTGGGGCTGGGAATGAGAGGCACCACGGACCGCGCGGCACCCCGGAAGCAGCCAACAGCAGGTCCGGCTCCTAGGAGGAGGCTCACAAGCAGCTCTGCGCGGCTCTTGCCCACAGGCACCCACCAGCTCCCACTGGCTGGAAACCGGCCAATGGGAGTGCGGAGCCATTGCTCAGGGTGGGGGCAGCGCATGGAGCCCCCCGGCTAGGAGCTGGACCTGCTGCTGGCTGCTTTTGGGGTGCAGCACAGCGTCAGGACAGGTAGGGAGTAGCCTGCCTTAGCCAGGCAGCACTGCCGACAGGACTTTTAATGGCCCGGTCGATGGTGCTGACCAGAGCCACCGCAACCCACTGCCTTACATTCCAAGACCCAGTACTGGGTCGCGACCTGCTGTTTCAAAACCACTGTATTAGAGGGAGTTACTTTTTTCAAGTGTACTTTGCACAGTTGACAGCCAATTACAGATAGCCAATTTCACCATTTCTGCTGTATAGTTAGTTTTCCCTGTTTGTGTGGGTCTTTCATACCCCAACAGTATCTGAAACTTGTTTTTAAACTGACAGGTTTCAGAGTAGCAGCCGTGTTAGTCTGTATCCACAAAAAGAACAGGAGTACTTGTGGCACCTTAGAGACTAAGGCATTTATTAGAGCATAAGCTTTCGTGGACTACAGCCCACTTCTTCGGATGCATATGCATATGCATATGCTGTAGTCCACGAAAGCTTATGCTCTAATAAATGCCTTAGTCCCTAAGGTGCCACAAGTACTCCTGTTCTTTTTGTGGATACAGACTAACACGGCTGCTACTCTGAAACCTGTCAGTTTAAAAACAAGTTTCAGATACTGTTGGGGTATGAAAGACCCACACAAACAGGGAAAACTAACTATACAGCAGAAATGGTGAAATTGGCTATCTGTAATTGGCTGTCAACTGTGCAAAGTACACTTGAAAAAAGTAACTCCCTC